GAAAGGTGCATCATAGTGATCTATTGCTGTAATGACACTTTTTTTCTTATGACATGTCCAGGAGGGCTCTTGGCATGGAAGGCTAATCAATGTTCAATTGCATTAGATTACTTTCTAGCTCTATATTTCTCCCCTTCATGTGCAAGGAATTTTTCTGGTTGCACTTTTAGGTAAATATACCTCCCACTGCATCATATGATATACAGATTTAAATATGTCAAGCAGATGACCATCTCCTTGTATAAGGATATCCTTCAGACTACTGACTTAGGCTTAAGTCAGTGCTCAAAATCCCATTCAGCAGATCTCAGTCTCTGAGATTCTTTACATCTCTTTGTGAATTACTTAAGAAATAAACAAAATGCCCCTCATTAAGCAACCTGAGGCATGTTTTCAAATAGCACATAAAGCCATCACATCCTCAATCATTCAAAAAGTTCAGTGACAAAAGCAAACAAAAACCAAATGTCAGGAACACATCAGCTTTCGTATGGAGCATGGGCAGAATCCTAAATTGATCATTAGTTTTCTCACGAACACAGGGCTTTTCCTATTTGTGATAAGTAATCTCTGTGTCAAGCTTCTGACAGTTGGAGGCTTCAAGAGAACACATTTGACCCATGAATAGGTGGAAGTGGCTGAATTGAAGTGATGACATCAGGTGACAGCTTCTGCACTCAAGTGGTCCTCTCCAGCCAGGGCAGCTTGCCATGACCTTCCACTATTACCTCATTTTTGGGGGCTGAGTTATCTTGGTCGTTTTGTAATAAAGACATGTCAACTGATATTTGTGAAATGACGTCACATACATGGTTATTCATTGCAGAATTGTTTGTAACTGTTGAAGGTTGGAAATCACGTCAAAGTCCATCAATAGAGGACTGGTGGACTAAACTATGATACATTCATACAGTGTAATACCACGCAGCCAGCCATCAGTACAAAAGAATGAGTGAACTGTTTGTATTCGGATATGGAAAGATCTTATAAGTGCACCATATGGACTTTAGAATGCTACCCTGTGTAAACAATGGGGAAAAGTAAATGAGGAAACACAAGAGAGTGGTAATATAGGTTAGGTGACATGGAGAGAGGAAAACTGAGAGCCTGGGGACTGGAGGAAAAAGATACTTTTCACCACAATGCCTTTCATATCGTTTGTATTCTCTATGATAGGAAGTCTTATCTATTCCAGCACACACACACACACACACACACACACACACACTTTTCTCCCACATACCCTTTCTTTAAAGAAATAACTTATTGTGGGAAAATACACGTTTACTATTTTAATTATTCATAAATGCCCAATTCAGTCATATCAGACACATTCACGATGCTGTGTACCCACCATCACTATCTATACCCAAATAATTTTCTTCAACCCCAACAGAAACTCTGGACCTGTCAAACCGTAACTCCCATTTCCCCCTACCCCTTAGCCTCTAGTAACCTCTAGGCTACCTTTTTTTCTCTACGAATTGGCCTTTTCTACATATCTTGTATAAGTGGAATCATATATTATTTGTCCTTCCGTGTCTGGCTTATTTCAGTATCCCACATACACTTTTCAAGAAAACATCTATCAACTAGGTAAAGTTGTGAAAGTCTGCAATGTCTTTAGAGAGAACTGACCTTGTGAAATGTGTAGATATGTCTCAGACAAGGTTGCACCAGCATCTGGTGATTCCTAGAAACCTCACTGTAACTTTTAAAAGGTGAGCTAGTAGCCCAGCTTGCTAACACCTTCCTTGCTCAGAAAATGAAGTGAAATAGCCACCATTTGCCACGAGCCTTGGGAAAGCCTCACACATGGCAGAGCTCTTTAACTGGGGCCTAAAGACCTTCACAGGGTCCAGGAATCTTTTCTGAAATTGTATGCAAAGTTGTTGTGTGGGGGCCTTTCTGGAGAGTTCTTTAGCATTTGAGATTTCTAAGTGGTTGCAGTCAGAAAAAAAAAAAAAAAAAAAAAGACTAAGCACCATTGCTAAATGTAATGCTGTCCCTTCCCATGAAACACAGGTAAGAGGCCTTCATTCATCAACCAGTTTGTCCAAGTATATGGTTAATGAACCCACACCAAAAGATAAGCCTCTGACATGGGCCTTGCACATGGCACCATGAAGCTTCTGACTTCTGACCAATAGATCTGTAGGAAAATAAGTTTGTGGTAGTGTTACAGCAGCAGTAGAAAACCAGTACAGTACCTAATTCACAAGGAAGTTTTCTGGAATTCAGTTTGTTAGTACATCTAAACAACTTGTAACAATGCCTAGTATACTGTAAGTACTCAGTAAATGTTCACATCCTTCTCAAAGGTGAGAGGAAGCACAGGTATAATGATGTAAATAATTCTATGACATGGTATAAACACCACAATCAATGGCCTAACCAGAACCATCTTCAAAGGACTTTACTTTCTAATTAAGTTTCCAGAGATAATAAATTCCAAGATTATGACAGATATTCCTAAGAAAATTGCCTAAAGTGGGGGCAGCAAACTCAAATGCACGTGTGGGCTTTGTAGGTAACATGAATAAGGGAAACAGGCAAGCTGGGGATTGCCGCAGATCAGGGAGGCGGCCCCATCCAAGGGGCAGATCCCAGCCCCGTTAAGTGATAGCAGTGAAAACGCAATGCAGGTTCAGTCTTGCCAGATACTTCAAAGTCCATTCCTTCTCCTGTGAAATCTCTGGTTTTTAACTGTTGGAATCCAATTCATATTTAAACACATACAGACCCCCCAAACAATTTTCAGGCTAAACTGATTGTCTATGAGCTGCCCTAGAGCCAGAGACCCTCGGGTTGGTATCTCTGGCCAGTTGGTGAACACATATAAAAGCCCCAAAAGGTAAGCTCCTTTTTTTTTTTTTTTTTTTTTTTTTCGGTACGCGGGCCTCTCATTGTTGTGGCCTCTCCCGTTGTGGAGCACAGGCTCCGGACGCGCAGGCTCAGCAGCCATGGCTCACAGGCCCAGCCGCTCCTCGGCATGTGCGATCTTCCCGGACCGGGGCACGAACCCGTGTCCCCTGCATCGGCAGGCGGACTCTCAACCACTGCACCACCAGGGAAGCCCGGTAAGCTCCTTTTGAATGAAGTTTTTGGCCTTCTTATGTTCTTACATCATAAAAGCATCTTTTGCAGTGCTTTTGGTAGTCTGCATGAACCTAAGAAGCCGTGAATTATATGAAATTCTTATGTGAAAGAGAAAGACAACTTCAAATTATGTTCAAATCCACTTTTATTAAAATTATTTGGCAATTCTGGCAGCAGTACAAAGTCTTTGACCACTGGACACATTAGACATGAGTTTATAATTTTGGTTTGTTGTGGGTTTGGGTACCTGTATTTTTCTAAATCTTCTGCCCTTCATTTCATTACCAAATGGCAAAGTGCCTTAAGTTTCTCTATCTACAATACCCTATTATTTATAGAACAGGAATTTGTAAAATAAGATTGAAAAAATAAAATGCACAGATTCAAAAACTTCTCTTCAAATATTAAGAACATACAAAGTACAATGAAGACATCTACATTTAGTCCTCCAAGTAACAAGGTGGGTGGTTTGATGTCTTGTTTTTATTTATTGCTAATTATAGTTCAGAGACCAGTGTTTCCAAAAACTATAAAAACCTTCATCGACATTCCCAGTATAGTTCCAATGGGTTTAGAGGGTAAAATGAGTGGAGCACTTGATTTGGCCTTTAAAATCACAAGCCTTTTTATCTTTAGTGGGGTTTTTTCTTCTACAGTAGCTCAGGGCACTATTTGCTTACTTAATGCCTTATGATTAGCATCTGCCTTATAGTAGATCTAAGTATTGGCCTTGTAAAGTATATTACTGGACAGCAAATGGAAGGAGGGCTTCCTGTCCAAGGCAAAACTTTCACCGGACCTTAAAGTAAAACCTCAGAGGGTCTGGTGCTCCTTAGTTGTTCTCCAGTGATCCTGAAGTTGTCTGTAAGAAAGAAAAAAAGAAAGCTGTGTAAGAATCTTTACATGAGACATTTCTGCTTGTTCTAAGTAGTCCTGCTTTTCTGGCAGTATATGAAAATCCACTGCATGGCAATGGAGCCCTGTTGTTTCCTTCCTGTGATAAGAGTATCTCTTGGGGCTCGTAATGCTGGAAATAAGCAGAGCAATCACTTGAGAAAATTCTGCCCTAGCTTCTTTCAAAGGCTGTACTTTCATAAGACTGATAAGGATGTTCAGTCTTTGTTTTCATGCATTGTGTATTTCTGGGCATTCCCATGACTAACTAAAGAACATTCCCCCAAAGGGCCAATTTATTTCAGTGATAGAAGATTGCCACACCATATTATTTTTGGTTGCCATCACTACTCAAAGACAAAGCAACTTGGCAATCAAAACAGGCAAGTTTCTTTATTTATTATTATCAGAATAGGGTCTCAACTTTGCAAAGGTTAACTATGTAAGTTATTTGTGTTATCTCAGCAAACTGGAACTATGAACATTAAGTCATAGTAGTAGCAGTTTTATCAATATAGTTCTCACTCTTATTTCCCTAATAAATGAAGAGAAAATATTTTCTTTAGGAATAAGCATACAGTTTGAAATTTTGAATAAGCAATTCTTTGCATCTAATTTAAGTATTATTTTATAAATTGAAAATACAGTTTTTTTTTTTTTTTTTTTTTGCGGTACGCGGGCCTCTCATTGTTGTGGCCTCTCCCGTTGTGGAGCACAGGCTCCGGACGCGCAGGCTCAGCAGCCATGGCTCACAGGCCCAGCCGCTCCTCGGCATGTGCGATCTTCCCGGACCGGGGCACGAACCCGTATCCCCTGCATCGGCAGGCGGACTCTCAACCACTGCACCACCAGGGAAGCCCGGTAAGCTCCTTTTGAATGAAGTTTTTGGCCTTCTTATGTTCTTACATCATAAAAGCATCTTTTGCAGTGCTTTTGGTAGTCTGCATGAACCTAAGAAGCCGTGAATTATATGAAATTCTTATGTGAAAGAGAAAGACAACTTCAAATTATGTTCAAATCCACTTTTATTAAAATTATTTGGCAATTCTGGCAGCAGTACAAAGTCTTTGACCACTGGACACATTAGACATGAGTTTATAATTTTGGTTTGTTGTGGGTTTGGGTACCTGTATTTTTCTAAATCTTCTGCCCTTCATTTCATTACCAAATGGCAAAGTGCCTTAAGTTTCTCTATCTACAATACCCTATTATTTATAGAACAGGAATTTGTAAAATAAGATTGAAAAAATAAAATGCACAGATTCAAAAACTTCTCTTCAAATATTAAGAACATACAAAGTACAATGAAGACATCTACATTTAGTCCTCCAAGTAACAAGGTGGGTGGTTTGATGTCTTGTTTTTATTTATTGCTAATTATAGTTCAGAGACCAGTGTTTCCAAAAACTATAAAAACCTTCATCGACATTCCCAGTATAGTTCCAATGGGTTTAGAGGGTAAAATGAGTGGAGCACTTGATTTGGCCTTTAAAATCACAAGCCTTTTTATCTTTAGTGGGGTTTTTTCTTCTACAGTAGCTCAGGGCACTATTTGCTTACTTAATGCCTTATGATTAGCATCTGCCTTATAGTAGATCTAAGTATTGGCCTTGTAAAGTATATTACTGGACAGCAAATGGAAGGAGGGCTTCCTGTCCAAGGCAAAACTTTCACCGGACCTTAAAGTAAAACCTCAGAGGGTCTGGTGCTCCTTAGTTGTTCTCCAGTGATCCTGAAGTTGTCTGTAAGAAAGAAAAAAAGAAAGCTGTGTAAGAATCTTTACATGAGACATTTCTGCTTGTTCTAAGTAGTCCTGCTTTTCTGGCAGTATATGAAAATCCACTGCATGGTAATGGAGCCCTGTTGTTTCCTTCCTGTGATAAGAGTATCTCTTGGGGCTCGTAATGCTGGAAATAAGCAGAGCAATCACTTGAGAAAATTCTGCCCTAGCTTCTTTCAAAGGCTGTACTTTCATAAGACTGATAAGGATGTTCAGTCTTTGTTTTCATGCATTGTGTATTTCTGGGCATTCCCATGACTAACTAAAGAACATTCCCCCAAAGGGCCAATTTATTTCAGTGATAGAAGATTGCCACACTATATTATTTTTGGTTGCCGTCACTACTCAAAGACAAAGCAACTTGGCAATCAAAACAGGCAAGTTTCTTTATTTATTATTATCAGAATAGGGTCTCAACTTTGCAAAGGTTAACTATGTAAGTTATTTGTGTTATCTCAGCAAACTGGAACTATGAACATTAAGTCATAGTAGTAGCAGTTTTATCAATATAGTTCTCACTCTTATTTCCCTAATAAATGAAGAGAAAATATTTTCTTTAGGAATAAGCATACAGTTTGAAATTTTGAATAAGCAATTCTTTGCATCTAATTTAAGTATTATTTTATAAATTGAAAATACAGTCTCCAAAGTTAAAGAAAATAATAGAATATAATGGGCCTTTTCTCCAAGTTAAGACTTATCTCTCCAAAGTTAAAGAAAATAATAGAATATAATGGGCCTTTTCTCCAGGTTAAGACTTATCTCAAGAATACTTAAAAATACTTAAAACTTAAGATATTTAAATAATACCTAGAACAAAAAAGCAATGCATCAGTGTAATGCTGCCAACCCACAAAGCATTTAAACGCAGGAGAGAGAAATTATACTTACAAATGGAGTCCTGATTCCAAATTTGCTATGGAATGTCATGGTGACTTTGTTTTTATGTCCTGTTCTTTGATCAAAGGCATGGCACGTATCAAAAGGCGGACTGTACAAGTGAAGGCTCACGGCAGGTTCTGTATGGCTAATATTCTCTACTCGATGTAAGCCAATGGAATCTAAACAATATTGAAGAGGGATGGGTAGATGAAGGAGCTTAGATGCTAGCTGTAGGTAAAAATCTGGTCAATTACCCAAGATCCTAAATCAACTGATACATATGAATTATTAAAAGTTAGTTAGAATTGAACTTCCAGTTAAAAATAGTAAATGACACGCATTCTGCTTTCTCCTAAAAACTTCCCTACAACTGCAGTAAAAGAATAAAAAAGACATCAACATACAAAGATAAAGGGAAAAGAAAAAACTCTTTTATTAAAGTTTAAAAAAAAATCTTTAAAAATTTGAAAGCTTAGAAGTAGATGGATGGCTTTGCAGAGGAGAGAAAGCTAAATCCTCAGCTACCCTTGGAGATGGCCAAGAAATAACCTGATTTATATCCTGAAACTAACAAACAGCTCAGGAACTGGCAGCACGTGTACTTTCTGAAATGAAGGTGAACATGGGCTATAAATACAAGAACTGGTTGAAGCCTATTTAAGTTTCGTCACAAAGCTTTTTCACCACCTCACCTTCCCTCCATCCCTGGTAGAAATTAGAGATCTATTCTCTAGAAAGAGTACAACAGATAAACTCAGGACTGGTGGATGCCTGGTGAAAAACAGGTGACTTAAGTGAAAATTTACACACTGAGTGGTAAGATCTCCACTTTCTTCATCACATGGCTGCCAGAATGCTGCCAGACAGGAATTTCTTCTCCAGGCAGGAGATGGGAAGCAGCTTCTCTGAGAATCTGATCAGCTCAAGAAAAAAGTCCTGAGGATATCACCACTGATTGTTCCTCAAGGAAAAGATTTACCAGACGATCCTAGAGTGAAGTCCAGTTGACAGACACCATCCATGTTTGAAAGCTACCAATTAACTTTTTTGTCTCTGGTTTTTAAATATTAGCACATACTCAAGGCCATCACACATGTGAGCAGAGCCTCTAGAATAAAAGAGGCCAGAGCAACCTGAAAAAAAGGCAACATGAAATAGACACTACTCAAGAGAAGCCTTAAAAAAACAAAACCAAAAACTTATCATTAATATCTTCACAGACCTAAGAGGAAGGGAATTCTCTAGCAGGCCAGTGGTTAGGATTTGGAGCTTTCACTGCTATGGCATGGGTTCAATCCCTGGTCAGGGAACTAAGATCCCTGCAAGCCACAGAGCGTGGCCAAAAAAAAGAAAAAAAAAAAAAGAGATGAGGAAAATACTATATTAAAAGGACTAGAGAATAAAAAGAGCTTTTAGAAATATAAAGATGATAGCAGAAATAAAATTCCGAATAGAAGGGTTGGAAGAAAAAGCTGACAAAGACTCAAAGAACAAAGGGCCAAAGATAGAACATAGGAAAGATTAAAAAAACCCAAAAAACTAGAGGACTAGTTCAGGAGGTTTAATATCTGATCAACAGTAGTTTCAGAAACAGAACAACAACAACAAAATCAAAGAAACAACTTGAGAATATTTTCTTGAATTGAAGGACATGAATTTCTAGATTGTAAGAACCTACTGAGCTTCCACCACAATGAGTGTCATGAAACAAACTGCATCACTGTGATACTGGGGACAGAGAAAAGACACCCAAAGAGAAGTCCCCAAAAGTTTCTAGAGAGAAAAAATAGGATTCATACATAGTAAGATTCAAAAATCAGAATGGTACCAACCAGGCTTTGAACAAGAAGAATGGAAACTGAAAGACAAAAGGTTACCTTCATAGTTCTGAGAGAAAATGACTGCCAGGTCATGATTTCATATCCAGCTAAATTATCTATCAAGTTGCAAGGGTTGTATATAGAGATTTTTAGATATAAGAGGTCTCAGAAATTTACTTTCCATGAACCCTTTCTCATAGGGCCGTTGGAGGATATGTTCCACCAAAACAAGGCCACGAACCCAAGACAAAGCAGACGAGACCAGGAAACAAGGGGATAAGCACCAGGAGAAAGTAAATGGAAAGCCTGGATGATGTGAGGGGACCACAGGATGAGCCCTGGCCAACCAATCCACACTGAAGGAAGTCAAAAGGCCTGGGGGAGATGCCTTCAAGAAGATTAAAATAAACAAAATACTTGATTTTTATAACTATGTTGATAAGAAATTTATATAGTAAGGAGAGAGTTGGAAGATTAATCAAGGAAGGAATTCAGTGTATTAGTGTAGTTAGTATAGGCACCTAATTTGGCATTATGCTTTACGATCTAGCTCCATGAGCTTGCATGACAAAGAAGAGCAAAGCCCAGAAGCAGACGACTTTGGTTCTACTCCCAGCTAGACTGACTACCATTGAACAACTCAGAACTTCTTGGATCTTCTGTCTTCGTCATTTAAAAAAATGGGGCCTGGGCTTCCCTGGTGGCGCAGTGGTTGAGAGTCCGCCTGCCGATGCAGGGGACAGGGGTTCGTGCCCTGGTCCGGGAAGATTCTACATGCCGCGGAGTGGCTGGGCCCGTGAGTCATGGCCGCTGATCCCGCGCGTCCGGAGCCTGTGCTCCGCAATGGGAGAGGCCACAACAGTGAGAGGCCCGCGTACCGCAAAAAAACAAAAACAAAAAATGGGGCCTAATTCTCAGATCTGCAAACTCTTTGATTCTATAGCCTACTGCTTTTATAATACACTGGCTTGCTTTTGAACAAAAGTTAAACATTCTGAAGAACTGACTGCGCTTTATACAAACAACTTTTTTTCCTCCAATTGCACCTCCAATAGACCACCCAATGCAAGCAAAGATCCCACAAAAACAAGTCACCCACCCTTTAGAAGTCCCCAAAGCTCACGTCTGATCCCTAAATGTTAGTAATCCCAGCATTATTATTATTATTACGTCTTTGCCTCCTTTTCCTTTATGCCAATGATGTACTGTCACAGTAATATAGGACTTTTCTTGGTGATACTTAGGGATGCCAGCTTGGTTGAGGCAATGTTCACCTTCTGCCTATTACAATAAGTAACTTGATCTCCTTGCCCCACTCTCCCTTTCTTCCACCCTATGACGCATATTGCTACTGGATTAATCAAGATATTCCTGAACAAAATTCTGCTGACCAAAGAAAGTTTTTACTTTAAGCTAGTCTTGGAGGCTAAGGCCCTGATCTTACTTTACTCTCCTACTACTCCTATCCAAGCCCATTCATCTTCCCCTCCGGCTAGACCGTTCCTGCATAGTCTTCATTCTTTGCAACGTTTGAATGAACAACATTCTTTGAACATGGGTTGTGCCTTCATCCATGTTCTCTCTTGTACTTGAAACACCTTTCCCCCCCTAATCACTATCCACATCTAGCCCTCCTCCTGCATCTGTAAAAAATCAAAGGTTACAAGTTGGTGGCTTTTGAGTAATGCATCTACAGAAATATTTCACCTGTCCTATCGAGTATTTTACTGATTGGCAAAATTTCCCATAACGATCAGAATTTCCCACCTTTATGGAAAAAGAAGTCAGGACGATCTCACTGGAGCTGGGTGACCACGTTGTCCCTTTAGACAGGGCAGCTTGCATACCAGTTCCCACAGCCTAGTTCCGGCCTGCATCACTCACTCACTTTACCTGCTTGGCTCCTATAGACTTTTGCATTGAAGACCCTTAAAAAAAAAATCTTAGGTGTTCTCCAAGATCTAATGTAGCTTTACAATGACTCTATGACTAGCTGAAAGTTATTACTCTGAAAGGCTTTTGGCTTGTGAGCAGTACCAGCAATCTTGTTCTTAGAAATCTGGTGTGCCTGCTATATACAGCAACCCTCAAATAAGAGTCTCCTACCACCTGAGAAACTAACTCCTTTGTTACGTGAATGGGGGAAAAACTTCCTATACAATCTGACTTCTGTAACTGACTTGCATTCTTAAACTAACTGAACAAATTTAGGCCAAGTATCAAGGCCAATACTGAACGTTAAGATCTGAGAAGAACGAACCTGCTTTGCCAGAAAAACCTCTGTAATATTTTGTTTTATATAAGTGGGATAGCATCCCAACTAAGACTATGGGCTTTGGCATCAAATTCTTTGGGTTCAAATCCTGAGTGACCTTGGACAGGTTATTTAATCTTCCTATGTGTTGGCAATTTCATCTGTAAATGGGAATAATATAAAAAGTTATCTCAGGACTTTCCTGGTGGTACAGTGGTTAAGAATCCGCCTACCAATGCAGGGGACACGGATTCGATCCCTGGTAGGGGAAGATCCCACATGCCTCAGAGCAACTAAGCCCGTGCACCACCAACTACTGAGCCCATGTGCCTAGAGCCCGTGCTCCACAACAAGAGAAGCCACCACAATGAGAAGCCCACTCGCCGCAACTAGAGAAAGCTTGCACATAGCAACAAAGACCCAACACAGCCAAAAATAAATAAATTAATTATAAAAAGTTATCTCATGGAAGCTTTAAGGAGCTTTTTGGAAAGTTACTAAGTCCTTTAGGAACACAGATGTTAATCACTGCCTCTACTGAAGAGCATTTGGCTCTCCTATATCACATTTAGAAGAAAGAATGAATTCTTTGTAAGAGATCTAGAAATCATTGCTAAATAATGTGCTTCAAAAAGTTTCTCTTGAGAATACTCTTTTTAAAGTAAGCTGTATGCACTTTAGTAAAACAGGGACTAGCTAGCATTCTTAATCAGTTTCGGAACATTTCTTTACATTTTCTAATGAAAGACTAACACTTCCAACTTGGCCTCACGCCTTTATTAAAAGACTCTACTTATGGAAATTCATGTTCGATTCTAACTGTCCTAAGACTTGGTAGGTAAATGACTCTTCAGTGGACACTAACCTGCATGCATATGTTTTTAATAAGTGATTCCAATCCACATGCAAAGCTTTAAAAAGACAAAACCCACTGCTTTTAGATCACTTCCTAAGCAGATGAAATCATGACTCCACGATCCAGGTTCTATTGCACACATATAAGCAAGCAATATTTCAAGTGGGAGTTCAAGGTTTTTCCCACTTGTTGTTAGAAAAATTGGATGTTACCGTTGATGTAGGCACACTGGTTTTCCCTCAAGATTCTTTCAGACTTCTTGATCATCTCATTGGATTTTTTGTCAGGCCAGGCAAATAATGTCTCCTTTAGATTTCCCTGCAGCATCTTCAGAAAGCAGTGGGAGTCAGTGTGATCGTGGATACTGCTATATATACACAAAATGACAACTAAACTCAGTAGATGGTCCAGAACCCACACTTGTAACAATCTGTCCAGAGCTTACAGCTGCCAACTGTCAATAGGACGTCTCCCAGGCCAATATCCATTTCAGCTGGAGTTTTAAATGTCGTCAATTTATAATTCAACATTGTTCAGGGCAAAGTAATAAAATACTGTCTTCCATATCAATGCATATAAGGGGTACAGTTTTGACCCATACCCTTACAGAAGAACAATTCATCTTTTTAAACCTTGTTGTAATACTCCTTTGATAACAGAAACACAAAACCAGTAATCATTTACCTTCTCCAAAATATAGCTTTTAATAACTCAATTAAGCTGGGCTAGAACTTGACTTAAAAACTACATTACAGAAATTTTAGAGCGGATAAAAATCCTTTATCTGTAACTGCATCACAATGAGAAGATCACATAACAGTGTTTTTTCCCCAGGCTTTTTCTTTTTTCTCCTTCCTCTGGGGGACAAAAGGTATGCACATGTGTGTTAGCAGCCGAAAATTATACTATAAAGCATATGAAATGTTAATATTTTATACATTTAGAGTATCCTATCTGTGATTACCTCCCAATATTGATGGGAGAAAAAAAGCAAATTGGATCTGGGGAAAGAATTTATTCCTATAATCTTAAATAGTATTTAAGTTTATTACGTAGTATTAGCTATAGGGTTGATTAAAAAATATGAACCTGTATATACTATAGCATGTATTTCATATGTTGAATTCTGTTACCCCATATATGTATCATGAGAACTTGTTTTCTAATTCACAGAGCCTTGTTCTACTCCTGACATATAATCTGCTTTCAAGAAATATTGAGAGAATGAAAACAACCTCATTCTATATAAGTAAATGCACTCTATAGACCTAACTTTCCAAAATCTTGTAAATTCATGTTTACTTTTTCCCACCAAAAATGGGTGTGGATTATTGGCTTTTTTTTTTTTTTTTTTTACCATTCTCAAGAGACTGAGAAGGATCTGCTTAAAGAGGTAACAATACTTGACTGGTAGTAAGTAAGACTTGCAAATGTATAAACTAAGGAAAAATTAAGGAACCATGTTTCAAGAATTGGTATTAGTCTAAGTTGTCTTATCTTCTGTATACAGAAAATAAACAATTAGCTTGAAGTAGAAAGAAATTTTCTGAATTTGTGATTTGCTTTTCTAGCTCCAAATCTGGATGCTTTGGTCTTTGGTCCGACAATTGTTTACACACTTCAAAGCACCACAAAGGTCAAGTTTTAGAACAACTTCATAGAAAGTTTAACTCCACAGAACACAGAGAGATTAAATTAAGCTGGTTACTTACCTCCACCTCCTTTGATTTACTACTCATTTTGGGGGAAGGTCTGTCATAATACATGGTATATGCTAAACCCCTCACGCTAATTCCCATGAGAATTTTTGCTGGGATTAGGGGACATTGTGAACAAATAATTACAACATGCGATTTGTTAGTGCTCACAAGGCATGTGGCCAGCCTGGCACTGTACTTTTCACATGCTGGAATAAATACTGAATAAATATCTGAATGAATAGTTGTATTACCTGCCATGTCCTTCGCCCCAACATAGAATCATGAGATTAAATTTTCCATTTCCTTGATCCACAAGATTTCGGGTATATCTGAAAAGAACGTTTTCAAAAGTTTGAATTTGGTCGATGAGACAAACACAGGGAAAAATAAGTGTGTCATACAGTATCATTCATTTACAAATGCTAATATTTTACCTAGAAGCAACTTTAAATGTGGTTGTCTAATTAGAAATCGAGCACAAATGAAAGCAAATATTTTTTCACAGTTCATTTAGACATTTTTGTATTTTGAATCACTGTGTTTATAGCTGCTCAGTTCTAATTAATGGCACGAAAAAGGTAAGAGAAAAAATTCCTTGAGTCTCCATGTGACAGCCTCAAACTGATAAAAAGAATAAAAATTTCTCACAGAAAGCATTTTCAAAGTGCACTACTGCTCTAGGCAAGAATGTTGGCTATTGTCTTTTTCCCCCCTCCCTGTAGCTAAACCAGAATTTGAGAAACAAGGTTTCATTAAATAGCTGTTCTAGAATTCTCCTTAGTTTTACTAGACTCCAGACACAAGCGACATCCACGTTCAAAAGCATCATGATGAAACGTCCTCCACAAATAGAGCGGGCGTTGACCTAAGTACCAGAACAAAAGCGACTACACTTGGGAAGTAAAATAACACTGTAAACCTTTTACAGTGAGGAGAAATTAGTAATTAGCCCCCAGAAATCCCAAACCAAAACAACCACATCCACACCATCCCCCACCCCCTCCAAAAAATCAACTTTAAAGTTTCTATTGGTCCCACAGGTACTCTTGACACCATCTAATTAACAAAGTTCAATAATTATGACGTACATTTAGACTATTTTTTTTTAAACTTTTTATTGGAGCACAGTTGCTTTACAATGCTGTGTTAGTTTCTACTGTACAGCAAAGTGGATCAGTTATACGTATACATATATCCCCTCTTTTTGGATTTCCTTCCCATTTAGGTCACCACAGAGCATTGAGTAGAGTTCCCTGTGTTATACAGTAGGTTCTCATTAGTTATCTCTTTTATACATGGTAGTGTATATATGTCAATCCCAATCTCCCAGTTCATCCCCCCCGCCTCCCGGCCCTTTCCCCCTTGGTATCCAGACGTTTGATCTCTACGATAGACTAATTTTTAAGGAAAGGAATCTTTACCCCTTTTGTTTGTTCACATGGTCATCTGTTCACTTATGTCCCACATGCCCCTTTGCTCCCCTGCGCTGGAGGCCAGGTGCTGGCAGAGTAGGATCACTGAGAAAGTTGATTAGTAAGTGCTTTTTAGATATCAGTTATCCTTACTTTGGAGCCCTTTTAAGGACCTAGCAGGCAGCTGTGCACACAGCCTTTAATTCACAGTAAATGGTTCCTGTACCAGGGATCCTACTTTTCCCTCCTCCAGCCCTAGGGTCTTGCTTCTCTGGGGCTTCTTCCAGACAATTTACTGCTTGGCCCCCAGTGGAACATATTTTGTCTTGATTCTTCTGCACTGGCCTTCCCAAGGTCAGAGATCAGATTCCTTCACAGTACTAGGACACTTATTACATGCGCAAAATACTACCACATTGATTTCTGCTCTCCCATCTCCCTCCCTCCCTATTCCAACTGCCCGCCTAGGAGTGCACCCATTATTTTACTGAGCTGTGCTTCAGAAACCTGTGGAATAGGTCAATCCAAAGGTTTCAAGTGGTTTAGAGCTTGTCAATCAAGATAAATTCAAGGCCCCTGGAAATGCCCTTGTTCTATAGATTAAAAGCCTATACAGCATACCCTGCTTAATTAATTTCACTTGGTCAGTAATAAATCTAGGCAGAAGAAAACTATTATGGCCACCTTGTGTCTACAGGGGGTTTAGCAGTGGTTTAGAGTGTGGGCTCTAGAATAATGCTAATTTGAATCCTGGAGCCGCTAAGGAACATTAGTATGACCTTGTGCAGGTAATCCAACCTTTTCATTTTCTACTATTTCTCACCTGTAAAACAGGGATAAGAATGGTACCTATCTCAGAGCTGTTGTGAGGTTAGCAGTTAATACATGTGTCAAGTGATTGTAAGAGTACTAGAGCCCATAACAAGCCCTCAATTACTTGGAGCTAATGGCAAAATTACTCTGGTAGCTTTATGGGCAGCCACAGAAGGATAGGAACCAAAGGAATTTCCTAGAACCACTTGCAAGTGGAAAACAGGATCCTAAGTAGACTTCACTTTTCTATTTCAGTTCCTAAAGTACAACTGAAACAGCCCTTGGCGACAAAACTTTACCAAACACACTGTATATGCTGACGTAAAGTGACTAACTGAAACGGCTTCAAAGGAAAGCTTCATCTTTTCTTATTCTTCTCTTTCAACTATGCTCCCTTCCCTGACCTCATCACAACCAACCATTAAGACTGAAGCGCTGGTTACCCTTCGGAAAAGAAACCCTCATTCTTCAGGGTGATTAAATTTTACTTCTCTCCCCAGAGGATTGGTAGGCTGTTTCATTTTTTATTTAATCTCCAAGCCAAGGCATCTCACTCAAGCACCTCTGAGGAGCAGGGGTCTCCAATTTACATTCCAGACCCTCAGATCTAAGGATAAGGAAAAGCATATTGCTTGGGGGCTGAAAGAAAAGCACTCGTTTATTTCGAGAACCTGACAGTGGGTTTAAATAAACCCCCAGCCCGGGGAGTCCAACTGGTTTGGGAAAGGGGGCATCATAAACTGAAAAACAGCAGCTGACAACCCCAAGTCGTTACTTTGTATTAACAAAAATGCCTGTTGGCAGACGCCTGCTTGCAAGCGACCGAGGGAGAAGTGATGGAGAATTGGTGTCGTTTAACTGCGTCCTCCACCGTCACCCTTTTCTCCGGACCGCTGTTGGAGTGCTCTCCTGATAACACCCCGGTTAGTCCAGACAGCCAGAGTCTGAGGGCATCCAGACACCGGGGTCTCCCCGCATCTCCTCCATATTCTAGGCTAGCGACGGCTCCGCTTGCGGGGTGGGGGGGATGCGGGTGGCAGAAGGAGTGGCCGTTCGGAAGCCGAGGGGTTGATCAACATGAAAAGAACAGAAAACTTGCACCGCTCGGCGGCCTCCCCTCTGGGAGCCTGACGCAGTCTCCTGCCAGTGGGACACGCCTTCGGCCCAAAGCGCCGAACGCCCACCCCGGCGTTCGCGGATGAGGAGGCGCGGCGCTGGAGTGCGGGAGACGGCCGGGAGCACTGGGAGGGTGGGCGCTGCGGGCGCCGGGCGGCCCGCGCTCTCCGGGAGTCAAGACCCGCTCCCCACGCGCCCGCGCCGGCGCCCGCTCGGACTCAAGAGTCGGCGCCGGAGAGTCTCGGCGATCAGGGCGAAAGCACGCTCACCTGTACTGGTCGAACTTGGCGTATACTGCCCACTCGGCGGGGCTGCTCTCGTAGGCTTCCAAGACGGCCTGCACCTCCTCCACATTGACCTCCTCGCCGGCGAAGAGCTGGTGCAGGATGCGGATCAGATCGGCCAGGGTGCGTGGCTTTAGCACCTCGGTCCGCTCCATCCCTTGCGGACTGGCGGCGCGCGTCTCGCTGCTGGGCTGCGACGGAGGAGCTGAGTGAGCCGAGGAGCCGGGGGCGAGAGTTCCTAGCTGCTAGCCAGACAGTTACACACAGCCACGAAGCCCCCAAATGCACGAGTGCCACAGCGTAAAGAAACCCCCGCCAAGATACCCACCGTGGCGAATCAGAGTACGGGCCGCGCACACAAATCTGGACCAAACCTGCTGGGTTCGGCCTCCCCGGGCCCTTTTTAAGCTCTCGGAGTCACCGGGAATGTACCAACGTTCCTCGGAGGGTGGGGAGAAGCGGGGAGCGAGCTGAGAAGGGTGGCGGAGGCGGCGAGAGCGTGCGGGCAAGGCCCACGCACACGGCCCCGGCTCCCTCGGCACCCCGGCCCTAGCGGAAACCTTCTCTCCCGGGTCCCGGTGCTCGCGGTGGGCTGCGCGCAATCTCTCCCCCACCGTAACATACCGTCTTTCGGCCGCCCATCCCAACCCCTCTTCCCCCCTCCCCCGCTCCCTGAGGCTCCTCTGTGCTGCCTTGGTTTGCGACGCTAGGACGTCGACAGAAGGGGTCTGGAGAAGGGGCGCAGGACGCTGAGGAAGGACACGGACGCTTCCTTCCAAATGGAGCCGAGGGAGTGATTTTGAACAGTTTACAAAGGCTGAGTATGGAGTCCACTCCCAAGGTGGAGAGCTTCTGTTCTGTCGATTGAAACCATCGATAATATGCTCCAAGGCTAGGTGAAAATAAGTCAAAGTCTTCTTTTAAAAAAATTTAAATGTGCTGTGCTGTGCTTAAACTACAGCTTGACAAGGGAGGCTGGGGTCTAGAGCAACACTGGTGAAACAATAGAAGGCCGGGTATCCCTCTTTGATTTTTAAAATCAAACATTTCCTTTAAAATATTGATAATATATCCAGGGCAAAGACCTGATGTGTCAAGTAATGGGACAAAGAAATGCTGATTTTGTTTTTGATTCCTAATACAGTAATTTAAAGGATTCTAATCAGATTATTTAAATCCTTCAATTCTAGGCTTGTGCTTGAAGTAGCCTACCGGGAATACACACAAGAATATGAATTTCTAAGTTGTGCATAGCACGTAGCAGCTTTGAGATTAACACAAGTTAAGTATGAATGAAAATAAGGAAAAAGTGCAGGACAGAAGAAATGCCAGTAGAGATTCCTTCTTTCTCACTATAGATGGATTCAGGGTTATTAAAGGTCTAGACTTCTGGAAGACTGGTCTGTTTCTCCCAGACTTTGCTCCAAGGTATTTTTATATATATACACATGTACGTATATGTGTCTATACTGTATATGTTTACGTTTCCTAGTGCCACCTGCAGCCTTAAACATCCCTGGTTAAACTGATAACACTAAAACCATTCTAACAATGTTGTTAGGAAGTAAACGTAACACCTCAATCATCATTGTCCCAGAAGGGCTACTACAGGTACAAAGCATTCCAGAGGCCTACCTTTTGTGATGTAGACGTGGTTAATTAAAGAATTATGGGACAGAGTAACTCGTACCCTTTTCATCATTTACTCATAATTTCTTTATTCTCGTCAGTGTTTTCTATTGAGTCTCTTAATTACTTCATTTCAGCCGTTTTAATCCACAAATATTGGGAATGAACAACAAAAATCGAACACAAACTTTTCTGCATTTCATAGTGGATTACACTTCTCTAAAGTTTTCAGACCGTTCATTTTCTACTTTCTCTGGCTCCTTCTGACATTCAGAGACCTCAAGGATCTTTCCTAATAATATAGCCATATTCACATATTCATTGCCTCTCTAACCCCCCCAACACAATTTCATTGATCCCTTCTATGTGGATGTCTCCCACATCTCTCTAATTTCACATGCTGAGAGTAATCTCTAATACCTTTTAGCACCTCAAATGAAATATACCATATTTAAAACTCCTTTCAAACATGCTTTTCATTTCCTGGAGGTTCAATTTCCACAATGAGGCTACCCGAGCTCAAGAACCTCATCCACTACTGCCTACTCTTTCCCGTTTCATTCTCAAGCTCTTTCAACCAATAGCTAACTTTTTTAAACCTCCAGAATATCTTTTATGTTTTTCCACCTTTCTATTCTTATTGCTACTCCACTCAAGCCTCTATTCTAATTTTGGGTGGATTACTATGCTGGCCCTTCCCAGTACAGATCCTTTATTCACATCCTGTAATTATACTTAAGCTCAGACTGGTTATGTTTCCTGGTCAGAAACTTTCAATAACTCTTATTTCCTACATACTAGGTTTGTCAACCTGGCATTTAAAATTCTCTATGTTTTGGCTCTACATTTCCTTTTTAATCTTTTATCTTTACTTTTCTTCTTTACCAAATGTCTTCCAGCCAGATTATATTAGTCACTATTTCTTGTGGTTACCAAATCCATTCTTCTGCTTTAAGCTTTTCCTTCTGCCTAGACACTAGAAAGACATTTCAATATGTCCAGATCCTACCTTATGGTCTTAGCTCAAACGCTTTCCTCTCAAATAAGTTATATCTCCTCTTGAACAACTAAGGCAATAATCAGTATCTTTCTTATGGCACTTACCACTTTGCAGCAGGTATTGTAGTTACTTATGTGGATTATCTTGACAGTGAGACGTTTGGGACAGGCTCCTTTTACATTTTATTTTTGTATTCCTTTCTCTACGCCTAGTACACAGTGCCTTGCGTATGCACGAATGGTGACTTCAGCAAAAACATTACTGGTAATTGGCTAGAGTAATTCAACTGCTAGTTTTAAGGATCCTTGGGGCTGTGCATTCAAATCCAGCAGACTAGACTTGTTTCTCTCAAGGTTTTTTTTTTTCTTTCTTTCCGGTTTCTCTGTAAAGAAAACCCATATTCTTCCCCACAGAATTGCACATTGTAACTTAACTACTGTCCCTCCCTCCCCCCAAAGTGACTGTCATTACAGGCTCTATTGACATAAGTAGAATACCTAGATTCAGAGGTGGTAGTTCTACCACACTCTGCATTGCCCACGTCAATGATCATCACATTTTAAGACAGACGTTGACATGTGATAGATATCCAGAGAAAGGAGTTAGAATTATTAGAGGTTCAGTAATATTGGTCTATCCATCCATCTGACACATTTTCACAAGCATGTACTATATGCCTGGCACTGCTTACAAAACTTAAGTCTCTGCCCTCAGAGGGCGTATGTTCTAATGGGGCTGGGGGTAGCTACCCCAACAAATACGGTATGTATGGAGAAATGGACACATAGTACCGTATACAATACACGATGGAGAAAAATAAAGCAGGAGAAAGAAGGTAGAAGGTGGTGAGGAGGTGTCATGTGATAGTTGAACAGGGACTGAAGGATGTTAGTGAGAAATGTAATTGTCTGGGGGAAGTTTCCAGATGGAGGAAATGGTAAGCACAAAAGCCCTGGGATGGGATCAAGTCTAGTGTTTGGATAATAACACAGATGAACACAGAGGTGGGTGGTAAGCTGTAGAAATGGGGACTGCAGATCACATAGGACAATGGAAGTCTTCAACTTTTACTCTGATATGGGAAGTCACTTGGGGATTTTGGCCAGGGAGCAGATAAAGGGAAGCCAATTAGCTGGCTATTACAGTTCAAGTGAAAGATAATGGTGGCTTGGCTAGAGTGGGACAATAGATGAAAAATGGTTGGATTCTGAACATGTTTTGGTAAAGATGTCAGGATTTGCTGATAGACTGGAAGTGGGTTAGAGAGGGATTAATAAATAGTTGAGCAATTGGAAGGAATGGATTTGCCATGATTAATTTAGTAGAAGACTTGGGAGAACTGAGGTGGGAAAGGGGGAAAAGATATGCCTCATCGATCTAGATATATAATAGAACTGGGAAGAAATAGCTTTAGGAGGAAGGCAGAGGGAAGAGAGTTCTATAAAGAATAAATCCACCTCAAAATGGATAGGGCTTTCCTTATGGCTATCAGTAAGTAACCAATACATTTTAGGTATATCTGCTCCATATGAGAACATAGAAAGAACTATGATTTATAAGGTTTCCTCTAACTCAAGATTCTAATCACACTCAATATACATACATGTTTTATCCTTCCTTCATCCATATCATATAAGAAAATACAGGAAATTCCCTGGCGGTTCAGTGGCTAGGACTCCGCGCTCTCACTGCCGAGAGCTTGGGTTCAATCACTGGTCAGGGAACTAAGATTCCACAAGCCGTGCAGCGCGGGCAAAAACAAAAAAAAAAGACAGGTAAATCTAATATTTGGTATCAAATTTTATCTTTTTACTATTATTTCAAAAAATCAACTTAAAGTTTCAAGAATTATTTAAATTCATACCTGACAATCTACCTTCCAATCAGAATGAAAGTTCCAGGAGAACAGGAATCTTATGTCTTATTCCAATGCTGAGGACATAGTAGGCACTCTATGTGAATAAACAAATGGAAATTTATAGTTTCAAGGCTTTTGAAAGAGATTGCCAAAATGTCCCCTAAAATTGTAGTACCAATTCACATTCCATTCACCAAGAATATGACAGGCCTTATTTCCCCACAATGTTGCCAATACTGACAATTGTTTTAACTATTGATACTATGAAAGGTGATACTCAGCATTTCGTAGTTTTTACCTGTATTTTTTTTTTTTTTTTTGCGGTACGCGGGCCTCTCACTGTTATGGCCTCTCCCGTTGCGGAGCACAGGCTCCGGACGCGCAGGCTCAGCGGCCATGGCTCACGGGCCTAGCCACTCCGCAGCATGTGGGATCTTCCCGGACCGGGGCAAGAACCCGTGTCCCCTGCATCGGCAGGCGGACTCTCAACCACTGCGCCACCAGGGAAGCCCTACCTGTACTTTTTATAACTAATGATGTTCAGCACTTTTCATGCTTTATTAGCCATCTATATTTTTATTTTTTGGAATTACATTTTAATGTATTGTGCCCATTTTTCAGACGGTCTTTTTTCTTATCAACTGAAATGAGCTCTTCAATTATTGGACATCAAAACCCTGTCATATGTTGCAAACATTTTCATCTTCTGCCATACAAAAATTAAAAACATGCAAATTTCCTTTATTGCTGCTTTAAATCATTCTGCAAACCACATCATACTCAATATATAATGAATTCCTGATTATATGTGCATAAGGAAATGTACTAAGTATTATGTGTGTGGGTACCAAATAAAAAACCCCCAAACATCCTATTTTCAGGGATATTACAATGATGAAAGGGTGTTGGGCATGCTTATAAGGGAGTAAGCGCAGTAACTGCTGTAATAGT